AAAAGTCCAAGCATTAACCTGTCACTGCTGGAACCCCTAAACCAGATCCTCCAGTGCCACATCAGACACCTCTGAAACACCTCCAGGGATGGTGACTGCACCACCTCCCTGGGCAATATCCCAGTGCTGAACACCACAACAGGGAGAACATTTCTCCTCACATCTAGTCTGAATCTCAAGAGCTACAATACAACTTCCAGAGCCACGATAATTTCTCTTACTTTTTTCTGTACTACTAAGCTCCTTTGGTAAATATGCACAAAACTGTCTTTACCCATGAGACAGAAGCAACATCACAAACACTGCACAGCACGAAACAAGTGGCAGCACAGAACAACTTCCATCAATACTGTGTGCTAAAGGAGCTTCTCTTCCCCAGCCAGGGGCTCAGCTGCAAACCAAAGGATGAACAGGTCCCTCTCACTCTCTGCTTTTAGCCCTTACCTTGTCATTCTGGTGGAATCAGTGAACAACAGATCACCCACAACCCCCACCCACTCCTGAGCAGCCTGAGCTTCAGGCTGTTGGGGGTTACAGCTGCTTTGCTGCAAGTCTTTCATCTCAGAGAAGATAAATCAGAGTAATTGTATGTTCCTTTCTACAATCCTGTGCTGAGAAAGGAAACAAATCCTGCTACTTGCCAAAGGAACCCACAGCTTTTCCTCCTCACAGACTTCCACACCCTTCAGGCCTATGGAAGCTTCCACTGAGCTTTACCTAGAGAGTGTTACCTGATCCATTCTCAGACAGATGAACTCCTGCAGTTTAGGAACCAGCTCTGATAGCATTGCATGTGAATATTTAAATTAAACAGTAGTTTCTCAGAGCTGACAGCCCAGGGACAGGTGCTAAACACTGACCAATGGATGTCTATCTGATGAAAACAACCTATTTCCTTCTCTTTGGTTAGCCTTCCACCTCAGAAAAAGCACCACTAAAGCCTTTTTATACAAACCAGCTGTTAACAATACCAAGAAATCTTTAATTGTGCCAAACAACTCATGGTATCAAGCATTAATTGCCAGTTAAAATTTCATTAGGCAAACTCAGCAATAGTTTTCTTTTTACAGCTTGATGCATCTCTATAAGGAATTTATGGTGTGAATAAATTTTTCACAAAGCTGAAGTCTTCAGTCACAGCCTTAAAATCCTTGTGTAAATAAACCAAACCAGTGACTAAAGCCAAGTAAACAATCCATAGAAAAATACACTGGGAAATCATTTCTCTTTATAAATTACTCAACCCTTTGGATGCCTGTGAATTTTTAGGATAACCTTCTAAACTGTTCACAGTCACTAACAACAGTGATTGATGCATCCATCACTGTCATGCCCAGGAGCTGGGGTCTTTGGCAAACACCTAGAAATTAACTCCATCCCAAAGGATTGCTTTCCAGTTAGTTTCTTCGTGGAGTCTCTTTGCATTCTGTGTAGTTTAACACAGATCACTGCTATTGCAGATTAGTGTTTCCCCTCCCTGACTGGATGAGTATAATCAAAAGAGCAAACACCTCTTTGTCACAGATGTTCTCCTGTCTTGCAAACATCACAATATTGCCCAAAATGCAGGTAAGTATAAAGAAATGTATCACCTGCCTTGCTCATGAAACTTAGATTCAAATACAGCTAAGTATACAAGTCAATGAATGTTTGCTAGATTGATTACTTACCCTAAAAGCCTCCAACAGGATACAGAGTTGAACACTAAGGCAATGACTGTAGGAAAAGGTCTCAGTACCCAACGTGGCTGATGTTATGATGTCCATCAAGACTAAACTCTTCCCTTTTTAACAGCCCAACAGGCTGTCTCTATACCAAGTCTTTCAGCATTTCTGCTCATAAAATCCTAGAATGGGTTGGCTTGGGAGGAACCTTAATGATCACCTAGTCCAAACCCCTGTCCTGGGCAGGGACACCTCCCCCCAGCCCAGGCTGCTCCAAGCCCATCCAGCCTGGCCTGGAACACTCCCAGGGATGGAGCAGCCACAGCTGCTCTGGGCACCCTGTGCCAGAGCCTCAGCACCTCACAGGGAACAATTCCTTCCTAACATCTAATCTAACCCTGCCCTCTCTCAGTTTAAAGCCATTCCCCCTTGTCCAGTCAGTATCTGCCCATATAAAAACTCCCTCTCCTTCCTTTCCATAAGCCCCCAGTCCTAGACAGCCACTCCAACAATTCTCCACAGAGCTGCTGAGCTCAACATGCCTTTGTAGCTCCCATTCTGCAGAGGATCAATAGCTTCCCACAGTGCTGTATGTGAGTTAATAATCCTTTTCAAACTACCTCTGTGCTTAGGGCAGGGACAAAGCACAGCAGGGACCCACTCAGCACTGGCCATAAAGGTACTTCACACGGGTGACTTCCCCTCCAAAAAGTATTTACACTTCTAGAACAGAATATTGAGCTGGAAGGGACCTATACCAGTGTGACTGTTTCCACATCAATTCAAGAATGGGATCATGCAGCTTTACCTACACAAAGAACTATACAGCAGTATTAGGTACCAGATCACAGGGTGCAGCACCTCTGCTGTGCAGACAGGCTGAGAGAGCTGGGGCTGTTCAGCTGGGAGAAGAGCCATGATGATGATATTGAGTATGTTATGATCATGTGTTAGCATCTTGCTAAGAATTTTATACCCCTGCCTTCAGAATATGCCATAACACACAGGTCAGAAAGGACATTTGTTGTAACACAGACTTATCTCATGACATAATACATCACTACACAACTCCCTTACAGGCTGTAGGACAACACTCCATGAGTTCTGCAGTAACTTTACCTTAATTGTCCACGTTCCAGGCTCAGGATCTTTGACATTTACTACCTTTGCAGAGTTGTGGATATTTAGCAATTCATTCAGACCTGATCCTTTACTGAGCTGCTTGCCTAGGAAAAAAAAAAAGACAGGGAGTAAATACAATATTGTTCTTCTGTACCGATTTATTTTTTAGACTTGTTACTCAGCAGTCAGTGACATTTCCAACAGTCAAAATTCCCTGTAATTCCTTGCCAGAATGCTAAAAATGCTCGTTTATATATGGGTGGTTGTATGCAGGAACTGGTTCTCTCCAGAGGCATTTTGCTCCTTCAAGGCTGACCCCAAAGTGCCCACAGCACTAAAGCACAACTGGCACTTTCAGAGCACTAAAGGGAAAGGCAAAGTGGAGAATGGGATGTCCTGGTGTTCCTTTCTAAGACCTTACTAGACATGCCTCGACCAACTTCAGTGAATCTCTGTGGATGTCAGTGCTTGGAGCTGAGCTGCGAGCAAGGGAAACAGAGATCTAAGTCTGACAGTTGCACACAGGAGTGTGTAATGGTTGGAAGAGAGACACTGAGCAAACATCTTTCCTGCAAATAAAGAATGCCTCAGTGGAGGACAGAGCAGGTTACATTGCAGGGAACCCATCCTGTACATAAAATATTTCCAAGACACTAAAACTTAAGCCCTATCGTTAGCCAAAAGTCATTCAGAGACAACAGATTTCTTCAAAACATCTTCAATTGCAAACTAGCACCCAAATCTGTTACTGCACTCCCCACCACACACTGCTCAGCTGGAGATGGGCACATGAGACAGGGTTTGATTCTCAGTATTCTCACAGTTCAAGGAACCCAGGCCTGGGCTGGTCTTTCCCCACATAAAAAACAACCTCCATACTGGTTAAACGATGGTTCAGTGAACACATGAAGCACAAAAGTTTCCAGCAATTTTGAATGGAAAGACAGATAGTATGACACAGGATGGAGGTGAGATGAAGTGGACAGGATAGGGAAGTTTTCCAGTTTCCTCCAAGTCAAAAAAATGGAACACTGGGGAAAAATTAAAACATCAGAAGTGATTTTTCATTCCCATTTTTTTGCTATCACAAACGAGGGTATAAACCACTTCACCTAAAGGATCATGAATCTCAATTGCTGGTGAGGGACCACTCAGGGACACTGTAACCTCTTTCAGACTCGGATCAAAAGGGATCTGCCAAGTATTCACAGCCATGGTCAGATGGTCTGTAGACAAGAGATGCACTTTGGAGGCCTGAACTGCTTCTTCAACCCATTTTAACACCTAAAAGAGAAAAAAACAGTTATTATACTGTCAGCAGTATTTGCTGTTGAAATATTTTCTGTTGAAATATTTGTCTCTACTCTATTATAAAGATCCCATGTTGATTTGTTTAAAACAAATATTAATACTTCAAGGAAATGTGATCTTAATAGAAGATCCTACCAAAGCCATGGTCAGCATGAGACCACACACAGACCTGGATACTTCTCTACACAACTAGTTTATGTTTTACCTTCAGAAATTATACATCTGGGTCCACAAATGCTTCCAAAGGACAGTTCAATGTTCTACTCACATATACTGAGATGAGTATAACACCTCTTTTGTACTAGGTATATGGAAAAGATTCTGTTTAATTCCAGGATCTCAACTCCATAGGTAAGTTTTCAAAGGAATTATAAAACTTCATGAATTTTTGAGAGGTTTTCAAGATGAAAATTGAAAATGGGAGGCAGCAGAACGACCAAGCTGTCTGAAGTCTGGCAGCAACTTGCTGTGTAGCTAAATCTTTCTCCAAAGGTCAACAGGCAACTCCAGGAGATCCATTTTCCAAGCCTGTCATTCCAGAGAGGTTTGCTGCAACACTGCTTTGGAAGTAGGTTGCTTTTCTCCTTTGGGACCCTTGCAGAAAGCCCACAAAACAACACCAGCTTTTGTTGTTGTGCCAAAATGTGACTTGATGAATATTATTAGAGGGGGAAGGGCAAATACAGAAATAATTTACAGCATTTCTCCAGAGAATTAGCTCTTGCAACCTGCCCTGCTGTCAGGTCAGTTCTTGGAATGCACACTGAAACCTGGAAAATCTATGGAGCATGGTCTCTATTCCCATTTGTTTATTCTGGGTCTCAAGAATGTTTCTCAAGCAGTCAACGCAAGAGGATTTCAAGTTAACTGCTTCATGGCTTCAGTAAATGTAGGTTCATAACTCCACCCAAAGAGGAAAACTATTCCAATAATGCCTTTAAATGCATGTCAAAAAATACAACAGTGAAATCATACTGTGAAGATAAATCATAAAGTATATCTATCACTATGAGATGGATAAAAACCACATGGCTGAAAAGTTTCATGCTGAATCTCAAGCTCTTCAAAGCAGGAACCCCAAGAGCTAAGCCTGCCTGCTCTAACTGCCTTCTGCAGTTGCATTGTGACAGTCCTTGTGTACATGGTGGCAGTTTATTTTCCCAGAGCCTCCAAGTCCCACAGAAAACAGAGAAAGTCCAGCTGTAACTGTTTGTTTTTCCCTCCCTTGTTTGGCAATCACTGTACAATATGTATCTTCAGAGCAGAAGCTCTCAGCTCCCTGTCCCCTTTCTCTGAACACAGGGAATGCCTGTCTGGGAAGAGAGAGAAAAGAAGGCAAGAAACCTTCATTCTGGGCTGTAATTTTGAGCTTTTGGCTTTGTCACCTTCATTGTAAAGCAGTAGAAAAGCCTTTTACATTTCTAAGTGAGTGAAACAAAACTTCAAATTGCTTCCTATGTAGCATCATGCAAACATCCACCCAGGCCATACACACCACCCTGGAGTTTTCCCAGTCCTCTCAGTACACAAGCACTGGATGTGCATCAAGCAATGTTTTGCTGTGTTTCCTTGTAGCTAGCTTAGAATATTGCTTCATTCTCCACTTCATGCTCAAAGGGCAAGCACAAGAGCAACGGTTTGAAACTTTATACCCTAAAAATAGCTTTGTTTGGGCTTTTTTTTGGTGGGTAGAATAATCAAAAATGTTTTAACAAGAGGTTGGCTTGGCAGGGTATCCAGCCAGGGACTTTGTAGCTGTTCCCTAATCCACAGTGCAGCATTAGCTGTCTCTGGGCCCAGAGCAGAGCATGTTTGAGCTTTTATAAACTGCATTCTTTACACATCATCGACTGCTCAGAGAAAAAGGAAGGCAAGTTTTATTTCTGCTGAATCTTGCCTGGAGGCTATGCCACAAACAGCTGATGCAGATTAGTGCTACATCTCCTGGTCCTTTGCATCCACCCGTTGGGGATACAGCCCTTGAAAAAAACAGGATTTCTGATCCAGAACTGAAACCTGCAGTGAAGGTTCTATTTGGGGCAACTCATTTTCAACCCCTGAGCCCAGACACAGCTTCATGTTCACTACAATCATTTCAGTCTTTTTGTTTGGGTTTTACTGCAACTTGTTCAGCAGTTATTGTGGAAGACTTCTGGAAGTGATTGAGTAGGGTTTTTTCACCTTAGGCAACCTCTTACACTGGTTAATATAATTGCATCTCCTTCCAGGGGCCATGGGCTGTATTTTTCCCTCCCCCTCAAAAACCCTTGCAAGAATAGCACCCACTGATACCATCCTCTGGTTGTTGTGCAGGTCACTGGCTGTAGCTGAGGCTCTGGCACAGGGTGCCCAGAGCAGCTGTGGCTGCTCCATCCCTGGGAGTGTTCCAGGCCAGGCTGGATGGGCTTGGAGCAGCCTGGGCTGGGGGGAGATGTCCCTGCCCAGGCCAGGGGGAGTTGGAACTAGACAATCTTTAAGGTCCCTCCCAGCCCAGGCTATTTTATGACTCTATGACTCTACAGTTCTATGATTATTTGCCTACAGGAAATGTTGAGATGAAGCTGGAAGGAGGTGAAAGTGGCTGCTGAAACTCCCTGCTTAAAAACTTTGCCCAAGGTGCCCAGACAGAGCAGCCATTCAGGCAGAAAGTGTTCCTAGGAACAGGGAAGTGTCAAGCAGCTCAGAAAGCAGAGGGAAGCAGCCAAGAAAAGAGAGCATGGCAGCTCCAGTCCAACACACAGCATTGTCTAGCACCTACAAGTGGCTTTTTCTGTTCACTTCTACCTCCCGAGAACAGAAGAAACCAAAATCAAACCAATCAAACAGAAACTTTATCCTTAAACTCCAGCCCTGGCAAAGAGCAATTCCCACTGGCAGTATCAGAGGATCACAGAATGGTTTGGGTGGGAAGAGACCTTAAGGACCATCTAGTTCCACCATGATCCCTTCTGTATAAAGGGATTTCATCAAGTGTCACAGAGAGAAGTTTTACCCTTCATAGATAAATAATAGCAAAATGCAGGTCAGGAACTGCACAGTCCCAACAGCTAATTTCTTTCCCTCTAATTTTTAACCAAACATTTGGAGGATAAATCCCCTGGGAAGTCCCTTCTTTTGATCACCTTCACATTACTGCCAAGAGCCTATAACTTCCCAATAACAACTTCAGTTTTTCTAGGCAACAACAGTAGAAAACTGCAATTTATCTCCAACATTTGCCATTGTCCAAATTCTAGGAAAAGAAAAAAAAAGGAAAAAACTGGAGCAATTTTTTACTAAAAAACCTCATCTAGTTATTGCCTATCCTGGGAATCCAAAGGGGAATGTTTACAACAGTTATAAACAACTCCAGCTCTCCAGATAACTACCATGTGATTTCATCTCTCTCCAAATTGTTTTCTCATGCACTTTTGAAATTTCACTTCTGCCTCAGACTCACTGGAGTTTTCAAAGAAAAGAGTCATTCATGGCAGTGGGTCAGGAATGAGATTTAACAGGAAGGCAGCAGAGGTGGGAAAAGGATTGCAGCAATAACCTCAATTAAAAGTTACCACCAACACTCTGTGAACAATGGAAAACTGAAAGCTCACACCTGCCTGTCCATAATGTGAGGAACTTTTTTGTTCAGGCTTATCAGAAATCCTCTGCTTGCTAACAAAATGCTTATTTAAAGATGATAATGTACTCTGATCCAGAGTGCAATTGCCACTGGGCTGCCCAGAGCCCAGAACTGCTCCTGATTTTAAAGAATCTCCTCTGGGAAGTTGGTGAGGTTCTGGTTAGGTATGGCACTTCACACTTCCCCAACATCAATAAAAGCAGCAGAGCTGGATCCTGAGGGAAGGACAGGAAAGGTGGGACAGAGTCCACATACCAACAGCAGCACATTTAGAATTTCCCTTTCTGCTCCCTAACTCACAATCAGGTCATTCAGAGATTCAGAGTCCAACCCCTGCCTTGTTTTCTAGATATATAGCAGAACTCAAGCAAAGTTACCTCATTAACTTGTTTTTTGTCCAAGTGAAAAACTTGACCAGAACTCGTGGAGGCAATTTCTTCGTAGACCTTGTAACCAATATGATCCCTGTCATCACAGTCTCCAGTCAGCACAAATACCACCTGGATTTAAACAAAAAAGTCAGTCACTTGGCATATGCATGGTGCAAACCTAAAGAAAACACTGCAAAGACAGCATTAATGCATGACAGCAGAACTGTGCCACTTGGGATGGATTTATTACTTTGCTTGGAGGACAGCCTCACTGTACTCAGCACTGATGGAAAAACCAATGAAGAAGAAAAGGAACAGTCAAAAAGCCCTTTAGAAATGATACTCATCTATCAGCCCTGTATGTCACAGAAGACTTATTTTAGAGCAAGATAAAAACACTCACATTGTGGTAAGCTGGCCAAGAATATATAGACTGGTAGAAGGTTAAGTTGCACTACCTAATATCCAATATTAAAAAGAATATTCCTTTAAGTCTGGGGTTCTTAACCAGATCAGTGAACTCTCTGTTTTAAAATAAAGCTTCCTAAAATGGCAGTACTATGGTCCTTTCTGTAAAAGATTCCACTGAGGCTCACATAGCAGAATTTTACCCTTTGTTATTGAGAAAACAAGGCATTAAATACATAAACCAGCTCAGAATGCAAACCCCCTGTACCTGTGACTGTTTCTGCTGGATGAGTTGAAGCACTTCATGGGTTAGTCTGTAATCCTTGGATCGAGCATCAGTAAACACATAGATGAAAGAACCAGGCAGGGAAATTTCTAGAGCAATCTTTATTGCCCCAATGCTCATCTCTGGACAGTCTCCACCACCCTGTTCACAAGCAGAAGAAAAACAAAGCACTTTTAAAGATTAAAAAAAAGAACATAACAAAAAAGCTTCCTTTCATAGAATCAACTGGGTTGGAAGAGACCTCCAAGGTCATCAAGTCCAACCCTCCCGTGGTCACTAGCCCATGGCACTGAGTGCCACATCCAGTCTCAGCTTGAAAACCTCCAGGGATGGGGAATCCACCACCTCCCTGGGCAGCACATTCCAATGCCTGAGCACTCTCTCCCTAAAAAATCTCTTCCTAAGATCCAACCTAACCCTCCCCTGGCAGAGCTTGAGTCTGTGCCCTCTTGTCCTGCTGCTGTTGCCTGGGAGCAGAGACCAACCCCCACCTGACTCCAACCTCCTGTCAGGGAGTTGCAGAGGGTGATGAGGTCTCCCCTGAGCCTCCTCTTCTCCAGGCTGAACACCCCCAGCTCCCTCAGCCTCTCCTCATGGCACTTGTGCTCAGTCCCTTCCCCAGCCTCGTTGCTCTGCTCTGGACCTGCTCCAGCCCCTCAATGTCCCTCCTGAGCTGAGGGGCCAGAACTGAGCACAGGATTCAAGGTGTGGCCTCACTAGCACCTAGTCCAAGGGCAGAATCACCTCCCTGCTCCTGTTTTGGGACATTAAAGACAGATACTTATTCAGCTTCTAATAATTTATCCCCTTTCTTTATTCTACGTACTGAATGGTCCCTGCAGAGTGTTGTCACTGACTCACCAGCAGCAACATCAACAATTCCAAAGGGAAAAGAAAGTCCAAGGAAGAGTTGACACTGGTTGGTGTCATGGTCACTCTCATTCATGTTTTGCTCAGCTCCAGCTCTTGTGACAGCTCCATTCCCTAC